ACGAAAATGTGTGATTGTAGAGAAGTGTGACAGTTATAGAGGTCAAATTTATTATATTCAATAATAGTTCGTTTTTTTAAAAAATATGCTTATAAAGAAAATGTGCTTATATAGGAGGTGACTATAGAGAGGTCATACTGTATTTAAAAAGCTGGAAACATAAATTAGTGTGATTCTATAGAGGTTGTGATTATAAAGGGGGAGATTATAAAGAGGTATGGCGTATCTATAAATTTTATCAATTCAACTTCCAAACTTTAGATAAGTTGACAATTTTACCTCTTTATCAGACCGAAAAATACAACCAGACTTTTTTTTTCTTTATTAATAATACTAATTCTTTAATTTTAAAACAATATATATATCTACGGTAATTGATACGCGAGAATAGTCATTTATTTCTCTATGATTAATGACACTACTGTATGATAGAATGTATAAATTTAAGAAAAAATCATAATTCACGCCAAAAAGAAATATAAAATATAAATTATAATCCTAAAAAACATGTACCCAGATTCCGAAATTACCTATTTAAAAAATAGTCTTACATTAAACAATTTTGATTTTGAAAATTTTCAACTCATTTTCGGGGGGTTTTTTTTATAATGTATTATTAGTAGGTTGTGTGAAACTAGGGGATTAGAAATCTGATCCGGGAATTTTAAAGGTTTCGGCAAAAATAAGGTATCTCGTAATCAACTTAGCTACAGGTGGTGATAAATTCATGGAGATAAGGTTGTAATGTATTTTAGATAGCCCCTCGCTTCGAATCAATTTGTTGAGATTATGTGCGACAGCGGTTGGATACTGAAAATTATTATAAATATGAAAAATTAAGTCGTACCATCGTTAATCGTAGATTAAGGAATAATTTATAATAAAGATAATACAAATTTCTTTAAACTCACAATTATTTCATGATACCATCGTTCATGGTACACGGACAACTTTACTACAGCGGTTAAAGCATGTTGTACATCTCCTTCCTCTGCATAAATTTCTAGCAGTCTTAGCCAGGCTTTAGCCGAAAATTTATTATCAAGACAACGTGTATAGGCCTCCTTGGCATCATCCTATTTTGGATAGAATCAGGTATTTTATACTAACAGACACACATTTTAACAAATAAATAATACAGTATCTATTTATTACCTTGTGGTGTAGTCTTGCTGCTAAATCTCCCAAAATTTCCCATTCGGTACCAGTTTTGCGATAAGACATCTGATGAGCTTTGTAATGTGCAACTTCTGAGCGCCAAACCGTGTAAACCCTCAAATCCTACGGATTAATTTAAGTTTTAGTAATGATATTTGATTGCAGCACGATCAAAAAAAATATGCTTTAAAACAGGACAGGACTACCTCGTACAAGACCATGAAAAGGTTATCAAGCCACCTAATATATTAAATAAATGTAAAATGTTATTTTCGTCGTTTAAATATACATTTTAATGATACGTTTTTTTATAGCAACAAACCTTTCGCAGAGCCTTTTGTTATTGAACGAGAACGCATAATCTTTTCTTAATGCAGTATCCTGAATTCAATTGTAAAAAAATCTAATTATAATTCTACACTCCTTGATATGAATTAAGGAATCAGATTATACCTTGCTTTGTTCATCATTATTTGGACTTTGGCCTTCACTTTTACCTTCATTAGCAGCTTGTGTTGGTTTTTCCAGTTCAGGACCCTTGAATTCTATTACTGGAGTAGAAGTCTCATCCGCTCCAGATTTTTCGTCATTCAGATTAACTTCTTCTAAAGAATCAACTGATTGTTCATCAACAGGAGCATTATGATTAATATTTTTTTTTTGTTCTTGGTCTTCATTGTCATCATGATTATTTGTCTCTTCTAAATTCTGCTCAGGATTTTCATCAACTGTTTCTAAAGTAGTTTTATTTTCTTGTGAACCTGATGAAACATTATTTTCCTTATTGCTATCGGAATCACCTGATACTGTAATCGTCGGAATAGATTGAGATGAATCATTTACACCATTTGTCTTAACTTTTATGACATCTGGCTCTTTATTATCTTCTTTTTCGTGCGGCTTAATGTTAGCCAATTTTTGATTTCTTCGTTCTTCCTCAGCAGCTTTTTGCATACGATATTCCTCCTCCATTACGAAGACAGAGGATCGACATTTTAATAATTCATCCCATCCAATTTTGGCAACCAGCCGTGTTAACAATGAATATGCTTTAGCAAAGGTACCTCGAAGTGATGGTGCCGGAAGGCGCAGAAGACCGACATCAGCCTTTAGTACAATATAACTAAGTTAAGCAGCGCTTGCATAAACAAAAAGTAGATTGCTTGCAACGAGGTTTTACCTCGGTGTCACGTCCATTGTCATCGTCCAAAAGTCCAACATTTGCAATCTCTTGTTTAATCGGAAGATGAGTCTTTGCTGGGGTTGGCATTCTATGCATGTCTCTATCGTTATATGTAAACATTGGGCAAGAATTCAGAGTCAACAATGCCTTTAGAAATGACAACATTATATATTAATCAATATATTAATCCACAAATAAAATTAAAAAGGCAATTGTGTAATGAGATAAAATATTTAGTTTAACAAATCTTTAACTCAAAATCCATAAAAATTTTCTTACAGATTCATAATCTTCAAGATCAATGTACACCTCAGTAAGTTTGGCCCAAGTGACAAATTCAGATGGTGCACAATTTACTGCTTGTTTAGCAAGTTTAAGAGCAAAAGACTTTTTTCCCTATTTCCTCAATAAATTAATACGATTGCGAATGTAATCTTTATTATAAAACATGAAGAATTACCTTGGACAATAAAAAATCTGTTTGAATATGTAGAAGTGCATAGCTCATTTGATTCTGTTTTAGGGCTTCGTATAAAATATTAACCGCCTTTATTTCCTCATCTTAAAAAAGAACATGTTAGATGATTATCATAGAATTACGACAAAGATATAAATTAAAACTTACCCATCCCTATATACGATTGTGCAAGTAACGAAGCGACTTCAGGATCTTTTAAGTACAGTGTATTTATGTTGAGAAAACACTGGCAGTTAAAAGATATTATTATAATAAAACGTAAAAAATTGATTTATTGTAACGGAATCAATATATTAAATTTTCTAAAGGATATGTTTTTCAAAAAGGTTCACCGCACGTTCATATCTAAAATTTTCACTAAAATATTTCATAATGCCACTAGTCAAATGATTACTGACAACAGTTGCAACTTGAATTTCTGGTTCTGACCCAAGCTGCCAACCTAAATATTAATCAATTCGTCAGTTTATGTTATCGATTGAAACGTATATCTAATAATAACAATAATAATAATATAATAATTTTATAAGAACCTTTAAAAAAAAGAGCTTCAGCAGCCTCTAAGAAATGGGCTTCTGCTTCTATATTTGGGATAGGGTCTAATTTGCGAAATCCAGCAAGCCTATAATTGGCATCATCTGAATAAAGTATAGCGCGTAGAAGTGCAGAAATGTAGGTTTCTTGCCACATCTCCGGTGTAGCTTCATGTCTAGAATTTAAATTTAATTGATAAAAAAGCGCATATTTAAAAACTTTGACTAATGTTCAGATATAAGAATTTATACTACGAATTACTTTTCACCACGCGCATCTACGATATAGCTTTCGACACCACCAGGAATCTTAACTTCAACGCGCACGTCCACTCGCGAAAAGGCGTTAAAGCAACTGGAATAATCAAACTTAGCAAACAATGATATAAATGGATCAACACGAATAACAAATAAATTGAAATTGTATAAATGGATTACATACCAGTATACCCCCGAACGAATTCTCCAAGCGGAGGATTTGGAAAACCATGCATGGGTTTCTTCCTTAAAAATCAACAACGTAAATCATAGTCATTTCATAAATATACTTGCAAATTTATTAGTAAATTTACCAATGCGTAAGTTAGTGAATTGAGGTATGCTGCCAAGGTAGCTGAAGAAGAAGCGTCGACACCAGAAACATAATGATAAGAGCCGACCTAAAATAGTAAATTAACCATAAATTAGTGAATTTACCGTATACCTGAATTACAAATACGCGCTTGGAAGTTTATCGTAATTCTGTAGATTGTACACGTGTTGATGCAAATCTACGCGGAGGAGTAAATGGAGACATTTCTCACCTCTTTT